AAAGATGAGGCTTTCTACTCCCGTAAGGATTTACACCCTCGGAAACCCTGTACAGGGTCGCTATGGGTCGGAACCGACTCGACGGCACATAACAACAACAACACTCTTATAGATCATCCACTCACAGCGCCCCCTGGTGTAACAGAGGTGAACTGCCCCACAGGGTTTCCCAGGCTGTCATTTTTGTAGGCTACCACATGGTTCTCCCGTGGAGCAGCTGGTGGGGTTGAACACAGGGCCTTTAGCAGCTGTGCATTTAAACACCAGAGTGCCTTTATTATATATATATATTGTTGTTGTTCAGTGCTGCTGAGTCAGTTCCGACTCATAATGCCCCTATTATATGGTTTCCAAGGAGCTGATGGTGAGTTTGAACCACCAACCTTGTAGTGAGCAGTCTAATGCTGACCCTACTGCACCACACCAGGACTATTATATATATATATAGTCGTTGTGTGTCATCTTATAGTGACCATGCATAGGGTTTCTAAGGCTGTAAATCTTTATGGGAGCAGAAAGTGTCATCTTTCTCCTGCGGAACGGCTGGTGGATTCAAACTGCTAATCTTGAGGTTAGCAGACTGACTTGAAACCACTACGCTACCAGAGCTCGTTATATGCTGTTGTGAAGCGCCGTCTAGTTGGTTGTGACCCACGGCGACCCTGTATTGGCTTTCCAAGGAGCGGCTGATGGGTCTGAACAGCCAGTCTTGCGATTTGAATGGACCTTGCAGTCCAGTGCATTATCCCGCAGCACTACAACGGGACTCCAGGGCTCCTTATATGCACACATATAGACAGACACACAGATGCACTGAGTTTAGTACTTATTGAGTACTTAGTTTTTCATTGTGGAAATCCATGACTTTGGAGTTCTCAGAATGAGGTGATTCTTGAAAAGGACATGTTCGCTGCAGGAACTCTGGAAGCGTTGCCTGCTATAGGTTTTTTGTGTGTATATGTTTTGTTTTTTAACAAATATTAGCCATTTTAACCGTGATGTTGTAAAGTGCCGTGGAGTGGGTTCTGACTCCTAGTGACCCTCTACAGGGCTTCCGAGGAGTGGCTGATGAGTCTTAAGCACTGACCTTGTGATTCAAATGGACCTTGTGGTCCAGTGCTTATCCTACAGTGCCACACCAGGACTCCATTTTAATTGTAATTGGTTAAAAAATTATTAAAACAACAACAATAAGACAAAAGACAGTGTTTTGGAAATCAACAGCAAGGATGTCTGCACAAAATTGTGAGTAAAACTTAGGTTTGCAGGAGCGGCCAGCTACTGAGACACGGTGAAAATGGGCTTTAGTTCTCCCAGTGATGTTTTACAACAAGGAGAACATATTACACACAACGTTCTTATCTTATCTCTGCCACTCAACAGGACAAGTGCTGCCGCTCACCTTCTGCAACGCTGACTCATTCTTTTTAATGGATGTTGTCTAAAACCCAGAGAGAGAATGAGAGATTGCTGCACAGAGAAGAGACAGCTTCCAGAAGACAAGGCCTGGGGGAACCCCAAGGTCCTGAGGCTGGGAGATGAGAAGGAAATGGAAGAGGGGTTTGAGAAGTACAGACTGTGAGCAGGAGAAACATCAGGAGGACAGGGTGTCCTGAAAACCAAAGGAAGACAACGCTCCCAGAAGGAGAGAGCATCCATTAATGACAAATGTTGCTGATGGGCACAGAGGAGGGGGGAGGACTGAGAATTCACCCTTAGGCCAAATGGGTCCTGGTATGCAATCAACAGTTAAGACCACAGCTGCCAACAGAAAGGATGTCCATTAAAAGTCACCAGCAGTTCCACAGGAGAAATGCCTGGTGATCTGCTCCCATACAGATGACAGCCTAGGAAACCCTATGGGGCAGTTCTCCTCTGTTATATCAGGAGGCACTGTGAGTGGATGATATATGAGTATATATGAGTATATGTTGTTGTTGTTGTTAAGTGCCGTCGAGTCGGTTCCGACCCATAGCGACCTTGTACAGGGTTTCCGAGGGTGTAAATCTTTACGGGAGTAGAAAGCCTCATCTTTCTACCGTGGAGCAGCTGGTAGTTTCGAACCACTGACCTTAAGGTTC